AAGTCATTATTAACCCGTTAGATTTTAGTTGAAGTCCAGAAAATAAAGGATGGGACGGCAGAAAAATAAATTGATTTATTTTCTGTTTGGCTAGCTTTAGCTGTGAGGAGGGGAAAAAATTGGTATCGTTGGGTGCATAACGTTCATTTAAAAAAAACCTAAAACTTTTCTGATGAAAGTGGAAAAGAAGTCCACTTTATCCTTATATCAAATTTCACCAGAAAATCTGTACCTTGATAGAAATTGTACTCTGCGTGTGCTCTGTGGCATGCTTTGCTTAGTCTTTTAAAAATAGGCTTTACTTAATAGATTAGTTCCAGACATTCTACTTCAAATTTATCTTCAAATCTAGCTGGAGAATTCCTGAGCCAGAAAACAAGATCTGGTATGTACTTACTTTTTTATTGGTTATTTTCTATAATATGGACTTGTAAATCTGCAACAGGACAAAGTATGTTTTGAAGACTAAAGTGTAACTAGGGGCTAAACAGCTTAGAATTTTATTCTTCCTGTTTTGATACTGTAATTTCATGAGTTTCTCAGAGGGCAGACACATTAAGTTCATTTCTATAGAAGTATGAAGTATTTTATGTATTTCACATCTAGATGTACTGTGTTCTTCTCTTTTAAAAAAGCATGTGCCTTATTGGGTGATGAATTGCTGCAGATTTTTGATAAAGGCCAACTGTGTTCATATGCTCAATTACAAATTAAACACATTTTTTTTTTCAAAAGGGTGAATTCTGGTTCATGTAAACCTTGTTTTGTTTTCTTTACAGCTTAGTATGTTGTATGAACTCTGGCTAATTTAGTCTGCCTGTATGTACCCAGAAAGTGAGTTAATTTAAGAACTAGTTTAAGCGTGTTGTAAGGAATGAATCCATTTTCAGGAATAAAAGTAATGAAGTTTAGCTGGCCAGTTATAGTTTTAGTGATCACTTTCACTGAATTTTAAGTTTAGGAGGGTCTTGGGAATTACATAGTCCAACCACCTGCTCAATGCTGTAATATATATTATAGCAAAAAACCATCTGAGACCAGACCAAACTTTTTAGTTTAGTGCCCTGTTTGCTCATTAGGTTCATGATCCATCTCTTCTCCATGATTCAAGGCTGGGTACAGGTAGCCCTTGACTTATAATCACAATTGAGCCCAACATTTCTGTTGCTACGTGAGACTTTTGTTAAGTAAATTTTGCTCCATTTTATTATCTTTCTTGCCATACTTGTTAAGTGAATCACTACAGTAAAGGTAATAGCACAGTTGTTAAGTGACTCTCGCTTTCCTATTGACTTTGTCAGAAGGTCACAAAAGGTGATTACATGATGTCGGGACCCTGCAGCCATCATAAATATGAATCAATTGCCATGCGCCCACATTTTGATCATGTGACCACAGGCATGCTGCAAGGGTTGTAAGTGTGAACAATGCTCTTAAGTTACTTTTTTCAGTGCCTTTGTAACTTTGAACAGTCACTAAACAAACTGTTGTAAGCCAAGGACAACTTGTATAGCTTTTGCTTCTATAAGGAATTATATGTTTATGGTACAGAGTTAGGCCGTTCTATAATCATAATAACGATTGAACTCTCTGCTGTTTCTCTCAAATAGTTGTGGGAAAGTTTTTTGGGAGAAGGTGTTAAAATGCTGCTAATGGTTTGAACATAGATGGGGGTGGTAGATGTTTGAATTGGCAGGGTTTACTATAAAAATTATTGCATGAAGTCATATATATGGATTTTATATCAACATGCTTATTTGAAAAAGAAACTTGACTGTTGAAACTGTTGTTATCCAAGATAGAAAAGGAAACAAAATCTGGAAGAAAAACCATTTGTGAGGCCTAAACTTGATATGCTTGATATGCCACCTTATACCTTTTAATTCCTCAGATATATTAAATGCAGTTCTCAGTTAAGAAAAAAATGTCTGAACAGTTTTAAAATACATTCAAACTGACAGACTGACTGACACAAAGTTGTCAGGTAATAATAATCCAGATAGAAAGCAGAAGAGAGTTTTAGTTCACTCCCCTCCTTCCTACATCCAGGCAGCCCTCCTCCATCCCCAAATTGTTAATTCCCTTTAGTAAAGCCAAAGTGAGAAATGCAGATGGAAACTTTTTTTAATTTTCAAAATTAGTTTCTTGGTTCATTGCTTCCTGGTGGTCCCAATGTTTGGGTTTGGATATCTGAATTTCTGAATTTAGTGGTGGAACAGAGTTGGTCATGGGATGTTGGAAGGAAAAATCTAGATCAGGTTAACAAACCTGTGTCTGTTACAGAATTTTAAAATATTTTCCTGCAGAAAAAGAGTTTTATAAAAAAAATCTTACTGAGGAGCACTACCCTAGATTTCATTTCATTCATTTTCATTTATTAAATTTCTATGCCGCCCAATCCTGGAGGACTCCGGGCGGCTTACAGAAATGAAAAAATAAATAAATTAAAAAGAATTATTAAAAACAATGGGACACAACAAAGTTAAAAAGGGAACACAACAAACACCCAATCAGGAGGGGGCTGGACCTCAATCAAGGGGTCAACAGCCCCAAGCCTGCTGTAAAAGCCAGGTTTTAATGGCTTTGCGAAAGGTCATGAGAGTGGGCAGGGCCCGGATCTCTGGGGGCA